TTCAGTAAACTGCCAGCGTGACAACCGCATTATTGGAATACAAAAAGTGAATATTTCATTCATAACTTAATTACACGAAACCATTTTAAGGCCTTAAGCGCGGAGTAAAGTTCATGAACAACATCGTTTACGCTTGTATCGGCTTACCTATTTCAATTAATTGCGCATTAAAGCTGCTGTAATTTACAGTGGTTTTACTCAAACATTAGCAGCGTTTGTTCATATGCAGATTTTATATTTGTCTCCGCAGCAAAACTTCACTAAATTTCAACAAGTGCGATTATAAAACAATATATATCAATGCGTAACATTACAAAAACAGAAAGTTCAGTACCCAGTGCCAACCACATCTTCATGACACATCCTCAATATGGTTTGCATCCGACGAGCCAATTTCTGGAACTAACTACAAGTCGATTACCGCTGCGTTCGGCAGGCAAAAATTGGTAAGTTCTTGCCAACGCTAACGGAGAGTCTCGTAAATAGGGACATTTCCCACAGTCCATTTATGAAGGGAATTTGGATACTATTCTCCAGAGCACGCGAGGGTTCGGCACTCCGTAAACACGGTCAGCAGGCCACAAGGAACGTTTCATTTCGGACGGAAGAACCTCTTGGACGAGGTAAATTAGAAAATCGTTGGTCGACGCGAACGTACGAAGCTATGGTTTTATTTTAAAATCTGGATAAAGTACCTATCCGGTGTAAATTTCCAAGCGTTGAGTTCTTGCTGACTTTGCTCGAGTTTTTCTTTCGATTCTTTCAGCTCTTGTTTCATTTTTTGAAAAAGGGAATTCACAGCGGGGTCCAGCAAAACATTTCGAACACTTGCACCAACACCCGAACGAATTTCTTCGAGCTGGCTCTGCGGAAAAAAACAGCGATGAACTAAATTCGTACCAAAACAAAAACTTACGAGATACTCTTGAACTTCTTGTTCTTTCGTCGTGAGACGCATGACGAGTACATTTTCACGCCTAGATGCCTCAAGCTGCTGTTGGCGAAGTCGCTCTTCTTGACCAACTATGTCAGACGTGCCATCGCTTGCCGCCAGCTTTGGTTGATCAGGCCGATCACATGACTTTGCTTCCAATCGTTCCACATACGAGTGAAGCTGCGTTAACCTGAAAACATCATATACCATACGAAAAGGAAAAGCTAGAAACCACTACTTCAAGATCAGGTCATCCTTAGACAGCTTGTCAAACTGGCTGGCATCAACATCGGGCTAAAACAAAGACCTAGACCCTGCACAAGACAAAAGCAAAACTAACCTTCGACACATCAACATTTTCCGCAACCGAATTTTTCATTTATGAACTCAGATAGTAATCAAAACACATCATATTCAACAGCATATCGATATATTATCTTATTCGTGACACTTTGAGCGCGATAGCATATTTGTACAACAGTGCTGAAGTGAATGACTATCCGAATGACTGCTGTAAAGCAACTAACATTTCATACCTGACAATCCAATATCATTTTATTGTCCTTCGGACACGGTTGCTCGCAGTACCATAAATGAATAGGCTGAAATACAGGCTAATCCGAAATATTTTATCCAGTCCCAGAAAGCAAGTCATGTCCCAGGAAGTCATCTATTTATTCGATTAATATTCATAAATAAGTCTTCAGGGTTTTGATTCTGGACCTGTAGCTATATAGATGGGTGAACGATTCATTGTTCAGGGAACCAAATGGTAAATGGTAAAATATTTATTGCCAACGCGTTTCACTAAATAGATCGTCGCTGCTATGATTATTAAAGTTTAGTTCCATAGCAACTACCAGTTATAGCAAACCCACTGATGAATACCTAAGCTATAACTCACACCATCGTCTGAATAACAAAAGATCTGTAACTATAGCTCTATTCGACAGATCGATTAAAACTCTGTAACGATGAATTTCTCAAAGTATGAACTAAACATATGAAGATGACCTTATGTGATAAAACAATCATCCCTAAAGTTCGTCTGTGATGCCATAAGTCATGGATGCAGTTATTTTAAACCTACCTGAAATTTCAGTAATACAAGAAGTAACATTTCAAATGATAATCTTTACCTAATTCAAACGCATCATAGAAACTTTAGTAGAAAATTACAATATTAATCTTTTATACAAAGACCTAAATAACTCGATATTTTATCAACCAGCTCTGTCAATAACAATTCTTTAGGTTGGATTTACAAACAATCTTGCGACTGCGGCAAGTGTTACATATGAGAAACGGGAAATGCTGTCACTCAAAGAACATAATACCACCTGTCAAACTGAAGAAATGTATGACTGCAGGCGAACGCGAATGACATGTGACAACGAAGTATCGAAGAATAATACAAACCATCCATGAACAGAACCAAGGGACAGTGCAGAAGGCCCTCGGGTGTTCTACAGCATGCTGCAGAAAAAGGTCACGTCCCCAACAGTCAGATTTCGTGGGCATTCTTAAAGTAAGCAACAACCTGAGTAGACGAATCAAAGAAGCCCTACTCGTCCAGTCTAACGAAAATGTCAACAGGGACAAGGGATACAAACTCTGCACGAATTCTTAAGTCCGAGACACAAAAACTGCATAATTAGCAGCATGGGTCACAGCTTCGGCTACAGCAGCAGCTGCAGAGCACACGACCAACTACGGAAACCAACCCTAACCACACCAAAGAAGGCTGAGAGACAATCCAAAACGTCAGCACTGGACAGTCACTCCATTGACAAACTCTTTCGTTTCCGTTTTATATAAGTAAACCGTTTTTTTTTGCATTTTTCGGATTTCAAGGACACTATCCAATCCGGTGAACGTATGCTTTGTTGACCTAGGAAAACTGGATGATCGGATTCCGCGCAACAGTCTGTGGTCACGCTTGCGAGCATATGAAGCAGATGTCCAGCTGTTACGGGCCTTCCAACCACTGTATTCTGAAAACAGGTGCTGCGAGAGACTAACGGCGTTAAGCCGAAACGTTTCAGCGCCGTCACTGATTTCCGTCAAGGCTACGTCTTTTCTCGTCTCCTGTTTGTGTTGCACATTGATAAAATAATCAGGAGCAGCCAAGGCGATATAGGAGATGTGGAAACGAGAAACAGAAGACGACTGTTTTAGTGGTATCTTCTGAAATGATCAGCAGTGCTCCCTGGAAAGGTTCGCAGCCGAGTGTGACGTGACCAGGGCACGTATGAACGTATATAAAACGAAAAGTCCAGTGCTCTCTCGTTTTCTTGCACGTTGCTCTCTTCAGATTAACGTAGAGGCAGTGGAGCAGGTGGAGAAGTTCAAGTAGTTGGAATCGTGTTTACTAGTGATGGAAAATTTGAGGAAGAGATTGACCAGCGAATGCGAGTAGCCAGTGGCGTTCTACGTGAAACAACCCGATTCATTGTGACTAAAGCAGAGCTCAGTCTGAAAATTTGGCTCTCGATGTTCAAGTCGATCTTTATCCCCATGCCTACCTGCGGTCATGAGTCGTTGGCCATAACTGGAATGCTTCGAAACCGGGTACAGGCTGCTGAAATGGGCGTCCTTAGACGAGTCGCTGGCTTTACGCGTTTCGACATGGTCCGGAATACTGATATCCGGGAGAGCCTTGATGTACAGCCTCTGCTTCTCCAGATTGAAAAGTCACAGTTGCGATGGTTTGGCCAAGTGTTGCGAATGCCTCCAGAAGGGAAAACTAAGCAATTGTTTCTTGCCATACTGACCGACAGTAGGACCAAAAGGCGTTCACGATTATCCTGGCGCAAATGTATGGAAGGAGTCCGCTCGAGACTCCAGTTGTCATCTGCCGAATCTCAAACTCTAGCACAGGATCAGGAGCGTTGGAAGCACTGTATGAAGTGTCTGCCTTCGCGAAGCGAAAGGAGAAGCGGTCATGGAAGATTAGGATGAAGGGCACAATCTAAATTCTATGGAATTTATAACAGTTTGAAAACGATGCATATGTGTTTGTTACGATCGTCACCTTGAGGCCTTTGCATAAGCAGAACATCTCTCTTTAGTGATGTCTGTTGTTTCCACAGCTTTGCAATACTTTTGTTATTAGGCACCGGTTACTAAATCACTGAAGAAAATCAATGCAGATCTGTTTCTACTTTGTTTCTCCGTGTTGCATACTGGATTTCTGGTTGATGTCTGTTGTGTTTCGGCTCCAACACGATACACCCAAGGGCTGGAGTAAATGACGTATGCTTGACCAGTTTGTCAAACAGGGACAACCTCCTTTCCTAAATTTCCACATCCGTGATTGCCTGTACCTGGACGAGGATATAGAGTCCTTCCTAGCATTGCTCTGCCATTTAATTATTATTGCGCTTCGAAACCAACGCTGCTGCACGCCGTTGTTCTTGGTCGTTCGTTAGAGCAACTGTCTCCATTCCGCAAAATTATGCTGTCCCAACAAAGGCAAGGAATTGGTGAATTTTCTTACGAAGAGCAACTTCCTTTCCAACCAAAATATTGGACAAGTTTCGAAAATCACTAGAATACCATAATTCCATAATAGCGACAATTTACTAGGTATCCCATAGAATTTTAAGATTTTTCATATCGTTGGGCGAGGTAGTGAATCAAATACGGCCATAAAGTCCAGAAAACTGGCCAACCAAGAGAACTGGAACCGCAGGCACTGCTTAGTGATCCTACGTAAAGTGAAAATTTGTGAGGAGAGGATTACCCAATTCGTAACCCTGCTTGATTTTGAATAGGTCTTCTGTAGACTACCTTCTTCAGCCTTCCAAGACCATCTAGGAAAAGAGTTTCCCGGGAATTTACATTCGCCTGATACCTCGATAATTGGAACCCTTTAATTATCAGGACAATAACCTCACTCTTCAATTCTCCAGGGAAACGTCTGAAGGTCCGTACTCAGTGAAGCAAGATTTAGAGCTTTTTCGTCATTCCCGTTTCTGTATACTTACTTCACTTCGAAGGAATTCCATCCAACCTTCTGGATTTCCTTTTTAGAGGTACATTTAAACTGTTTGGATTTCTGGTTTTGCGAGTGAATCGATTGTACTAGCTTCTAGCATCCAGACAATTAACGGTCGGACCCGATACCTCTAGACGGCAGCCGTTGATCAACTGCTTAAAATGCTCAGCCAATTTTGTGAGTTGTCCCTTCTGACATGCAAATGATACACGCTTAGCATATTCAATAATGGGAAACCGAGTTCCTTGCTAACCGGACAACACTGTTCTCAAGTCATCTTTTGTCACCTTCCCTGGTAGCCTCATCGATCTTGTTGATTTCCCTTACAACCAAAATTCCGTGTCTTATCTCTAGCTCTGGCTGATTGCACGAACGAGATGGTGACAATCTGCCTTCGAAGGCGCAGTAGGGTGATGAGAGTACTCTTTTTTGTCTGATTCCTTTTCACTCTAAGGGTTGAGATCTTCTCCGCAATCCAGAACAGTAGAGGCATTCTCTTCCTACATCAACTACGTCTTTTGACAGGAAAATGACGATTTCTTTGAAGTCTTTGTGAACTTAATCGAAACCTGTCACGTCTCCGACTGGACATTAAAGGTGTCGCTAAATAACTTTATACCTCCTTTCGGTAGGTCGACCTCACCGCTTCGACATATATTAGCCGGTCAACCTGTGTGTTTCAAAATTTTGTGTTTCAACCAAACGACGTCGATGCGACAAGGCAAACTTAGACGAAGCTCCTCTACGATCATATGATGATCTAACCCAAAGCAAGCGCCACTCCTGGCATGCGTTTCTAGCAATGAGCTGCGTCATTTGCAGCTGATGAGGATGTGGTTTGGTTAATCGGATTATGAGGGAAAAATGATTAACCTGTTTGTCACGTAAATGCTTAACCGACGCCTGCCGTTGTTATTCGCGTTGTCAATACCGAACATTCGAGTGTGCCTGGCCATGTGCTGCACTATACGCCCATATTTGCGTTGAGGTCGTCTGTGGTAATTGCGACATCAAAATGTGACAAACCGCTAACAGTCGACTT